AATGAAAGAAACTGGAATTTCCACACTGCAGATTGAGCTTCTCAAGGAAGTGCAATCAGACACTAGAGAAGTAAAACTCCAGAACAATAGAGTCACTAGCATTGCAGGCACTAATGCTAGGATCAGAAAGGGAATAAAATTATATCCCTTGGATTTAGGTTTGGAAGACATCAACCTGTGTCTCATTCCCTAGGCAGGCTGAGATCAGGCGTGTCACCAAGTTGATTAAATTGACCTTTTGAGACAGGGCTCAGAGCAACATAGCAACCGGAGCCACCCTTTGGTCGTCCCAACGCCTTACCTCCTGGAACAGTGTTAGCAAAGATCTTGCTGGAGACCAGGCACAGCGTCCTCCAGGGAATATGTAGAGCACGGTCAATGTGCAAGGGAGGGAGTTGGATCCAGGGTAGAATACAGGAAATAAGCATGAAACTTCAACCATAATGGCAGTCTAGTCACGTGCTTGGATGCAAGCAGCCTGTACACATACAGGAAAATACATCCTCGCACATTGCATAGAAGAACAGGGAGGGGCTCCATCTGTGAAGTGTGGATCCAGAGCAAAGCACACCTAGAGTCTGGCAAAGAGGGCTTTTTTCATTAACCCCACTTAGGTTAACATACTGGGGGCAAACCTGGGACCTGCACAGTTAAAGTTGTGAACACTGATAGACCCTCAAACTCTCCAGTGAGATGGCCACTAGAGGGGGTGTGATAGGAGACACTCCTCTCTCATGAGCACCTCCTGCACTCTCTCTCTTTCTCTGCCCCCCGGTGCCCCCTGTCAGCTGTTAACCTCCTCACGTGAATCTTCAGTGGCCCAGCCCTCCAGCCAAGTCACACACCACCAATATACACAAACCAAACCAAAGTAAAAGGTCCAACAGGGCCAGTCTCTGTGCCCTTGTTACCATCTACAGCCCAGTCTCTGGGCTCCATCCTCAGCCCCCTCTGTGCTAGCTTTAAGTCTGTGCCTGCCCTGGTATAGAGAAGTGCCCCCTGGGCTTTCTCTCTGGAGATTCCTAGCCTTTATCAGTTCTTATAACCCCAGCTCTCCAGCCAGGTCACTCCTTCAAATTCAGCCTACTTCAGCAAATGGTTGGCCCCCTGCAGGTTCTTCAGGCCCATCCTTGAGCCCTGTAAATTCCGGCCCTGTGCTTGGGCTTCTAAACAAAACTTGTCCCCTTCTGGGGTCTTTGACCACTTTGCCAGTGGGGGGACCCAGGCCAACTCACCACTCCAGATCCCAACCCAGGGACCCTACAAATAGCCCCAGGCTGCTCCCTTTAATGCCATTGCTGCTGCTATTCCCTGGGCCTCTTCCCATTTAGCCCCTTCCTCTTCACCTTTACCCCAGGGCTCTCTGTTCCCTGCTTAAACAGGTCTCTCCCATGACTCTTTACCTGTAGAGAGTCACAGCCTCTCTCCTTCTCCCCCGTTCTGGCTCCAGACAGTGACTGACCTGCTTAGCCCCTGTAGCTCCTTTTATCTCAGCCTGCTGTGCTCTGATTGGCTGTGTCCTGCAGCCTTTCTAGGCAGGCACCACTTTCACTGCTCTTTCATGGGAGCAGGGTTTGGTAGGACCACAAGGCCTCCAACAGGGGGCCTCAAAGGGCCTGGTACACCCAGTCATAGGGACAAATATCTACATTGTGTTAGCATGGGTTAAATTGTATTTAGGATGTGTGGTTCTTTTTCCTATCTAGCAAGGAACAGTCTTCCCCTGATAGGGGAGATGGATTAGAGGGGTTGATCCCTTGAGTTGCTGAGGCCCCATATCTCCCTTTAATTCCAAAGGGACCACAGTAGACGGCTGCTTAGCATCTCTGAAAATATTACCCTGGATCACCTTGCAATCCTTTGCCATAACTAATTTGTCTGTTTTATTAAAAACCTGATTTTACCCAGTTAAAAGGACATACCACTTAAAATACTGAGACAAGAAAAAATAAAGGGGAAAATTAATCTGAGTAAAAACAAATTTTCTCCAAAGCCTCTAAATAAAATGAAGATGAATTTTAAAACATATCAAACAATATCAGATACATTGTTCACCAGCAATGAAGAATCACTTGCCAAATAGTACCACACAGTGGCATGTGGAACATGGCAGTTTCCCCTACACTTATAAGAGGAAATTGGCTGCTGTGTCTCAGAAATGACTGTTGCAACTTGTTGACAAAAGCTGACTTTTTAATGGCAGCTACCATACAAGCCTGATTGTGTTCTAAGCTCCATTGAGGACTAATGAAAAAAGGAACTGGATTTTTAAAAGATAGTTAATATCTTTAGGTACCAAAATAGCATTTCCCCCTCAGAACAGTGCCAGATACCAATGCTAGATAGTCATCAAGAGTCCAATCCTTAACTTCCAAGTACAAAGTAAGAGAGATTGTGTCCTTCCACATTAGCACAAAATGGTAATATAAGACAACAAGCCATTTGATACAAGGAAAATCCTCTCCTAAGATTCTAATTTGAGGAAGTGGGGGGTAATGACTGTCAGCTGGAAGTGCTGGCTGGCCCTGAATATAAAAATCAGTTATTCTAGGGGTACATTTACACAGTGATAACCCCCCCAAATGTCTACACAGCAATTTTACAGTCCAAAGCCCGAGCCCTCCAAGCCCGAGTCATCTGAGCCGGACAAGCCGCAGGTTTTTTATCACTGTGTAGATACACCCTAAGTGCCTAGCACCCTGACTGTTTACATTTACACGGATACAAACACTAAACACTGGATTGACTCGCCATAAACTGACAGCATTTTCCATCTCTCAACACACTGTGATTTTATATGAGCATTGCTTTGCTATATATACACTGATTTCCTGCCTTTCCTAGAGCTGTTTTTTAAGAGAAGTTTTGCAGCCCCATAGTAATCAGGAGTCAGCGTATATATAGTGCTGGCTTCTATGTAATCATACGCCCCCAGCTAGCAGCAACGTAATCATTCAGAATAATATTTTGGGGACATTATGCGTAATCTCAAAGCCCCTTGACCTTTAATCATTTGTTTGCACTGATGAAATAGTCACTCTGCTTCATTCTTTACGATGTTCCCTCTTGATTATGTGCTTGATATCCCTGCAACATGTATAAAACTGATTAAAATGCTGCAATTGATTTATCAGCATCATAAGCACGATCAGGTTCAGGTTCCTATTACTGCAGGTTTTTTTCCCTGACCCATCCTCTCCAAGACATATCATTGCAAAAGAGGGTTCCCAAAATTATAATATTCTCTAGCCTTAAAACAGGAAATCCAACCCGTCCAAAGATATATCGTAGATATGGCCAGGATATCCTAGTGAATGTCATCCAGGGACCTATGGTTTCACAGTAGATAGATTTAATTAGAACGAGGACCAAAAATCAGCCCTTCTAATTATGCCTGGCTATTTTAAAATACTTTTATTAATAAGGCCAAACATCCTCTTATGGAGAAGTCCTATAGATTTTAGTAACGATAATACCGAGAGGGTTCTAAGGAAATTACTCTGCAAGTCTACAGAATTGGATTCTGAATGCTAATCTCCATACAGGTTTTTTAGTCCATCCTATAGAATTCCACAGCAGGGATGTAGTTCTCTGTCAATTCTACAGCACTTTCTCCATCAGGGTGAGCTGTGTATATTCTGTGCTTCACAACAGCGTGTGTAAGTAGTGTGTATTACATATGAGAGAGAAATAAAGGGCATGATTCTGTGACACCTTCGGTGCCTCTTGCAGGGTGCGAAAGCACGTCCAGTTCCTGTTGATTTCAATGGGCTTTGCAGGATTGGGACCCATATGCTCCTTCTCTATCATTGTTCAACATGAAGACAGGTGCAGTTTAGCCCTGGCTACCTCACATCCAGACCACCCTCAGAGCATAATTATGAAGCAGAAGCAGGGTTATAATTTTTCATGGGTACGACTTTGCTAATGTCTGGCTCCCTTTTATTGAAATGCTGATTGTCATTACAGTGAAGTACATTTCCAACCAGGCAGGCAGTGATAACGAGGGTGGGCGGGGGGGGGGGGAAGGAGGAGATAGCTGCTGACGTCTCTATCTCTCCTTACTGCTGCAAAAAATATTAGTTACGTGTAAGTGGAAAGAGCTCTCTGCAGTCATTACATAGCAAACAGTTACCACTTGGCTTCAACTTACTTTTACCCTCTCCACAAACACAAACACACTCACACTTTCCGCATGATACAAGTTTGCATATGGGCATTGCATGGCATTTTTATTTATTTGTGAGTTAAATGAGGATTAATTTCCACACCCGTCTTTGCATTATTGCTGATCTTTACCCTTTTTAAATGCACCCAATGTATGTTTTTCTATATATGGATCCAGTGAGTTTCCCTTATTTCTTACTCATTACATTTTTTTTTAAGATAGGAAGGACTGAACATTTTGGTAAGTATTTTTTAAAATGATTATTAATAGCTATGACAACGTTAGTGTTATTGCAACTATTTACTTTTATTTTAAAGCACGTAACATGACCCTTTCAGTTACAGATTACAATGAAGTTTCCTCTCTAGCCTATACACACACCTCTATTTTTTACAGATCTCTCCTAAATATGACCCGAGGAATTTATTCTGTGCAGTGAGGAGAGGGAAAAGCATTGTTGCCTGGATTATTTTTTTCAGAGGGTTATTTATTGCTACGTCGACCTTTGCTCCATTGCAACCCTTCACTTTTATTTTGAAGCACAGAGCTTGAGTCGTTCATACTCGGATCACGTTGTGTCCCCTGATCACCCCATTTCTACCCACTCTCACTGGAATATTACAGGGATTTATTATTTTTCACGTGTTGGGGGGAGGTGGAGAGAGAGGGTCTGTATGGCAAAGATAGCAAAACATGCTTTGGACAACATTCTTGGTTGAAATGTCATTAAAATGCCTTTGAAACAAGAGAGCCAATAAACTAGCAATACACACACGTACAGAAAACTGCACTGATCAAGGGAAGAGTTTGCAAGCAGCACAGCTGATCTTACCTGGGTCTTTGCAGGGTCCTCCCTCAACACACTCTCTCCCTCTCCCAGGAGGAAGCAAGGTTGTGGTTACTGCTGCTGGTGTCGATGGAGCAGGTACAAAAAGGCAGTTGGCGGATTGCAGTCCCTGCTGCTGGGCTCTGGCTCCTGTCAGGGCTGCTGCTGCTGCTCCTGGTACTGATGATGCTAAGGAGGAGGAGAATGAGTGAGGAGGAGGAGGATGGTGATGGTGCTGATGCTGTTGCTATGGTTACGGAACTCAGTGGCAGCACCACTCAGTGCAACAGCTGCTCCAGCTCCTGGTTCTTTCAGACACAGGCTGTGGCGGAGCTAGGAACAACAACAATAATAAATGCCCACTCTTCTCCAGCACTCACTTTCTCCTGCTCTTTTGATTATAATGCTGCCACTCTTACTAGTGTGGAGCCGGGTCTAGCGCTCTGGCTCTGTGATCAGGTTAATGATTGCAATGCCTGGGCAATCCCGTCTCTCAGCAGCCTGCTGGAAGCAGGTTAAAGGGACAATCGTAGCAGCAGCAGGAAAAGGGGATGGGAGAGAAGGAGACTTAGAAGAAGGGCCCAAGACATACCCACAACCGTTTTCTAGTGGGGCAGTGAGGAAGGAGAACATCAGAGACAATTCCATAAAGCCTGGTTGATGGGCTGCAGAGTGATGGCGCAGCCGAGAGGAAACAGGTGGTCCACAAAAGTGCCTGAAATACTGTAACAGAATGCTAAGCCTCTCAGAATTGGTGGGGTGAAACCTTGACTCCACTGAAGTCAATGATAATTTTGCCATTGACTTAAATGACGCAAGAGTTTCACTCGTGGGGTTTCTGCATTTTTGTAACAAACTCACAAAAGGGACAATTTTCCAATCTTTGTTTTTGTGCAAAGACAGGACAATTTTCCAGGTAAAAACAGGTTGCTTTTCAAGCAAAACACAGTTGGAAGTTGGACCTTTTCTTTTCCCTTTGAATGAAAATGGATTTTATACAGAAATTTTACATTAGTCAAAAGTTCCTAAAGAAAAAGGATAGCCACTTCCTTTCCCAGAGCAGAGAGTAGAATGACATTTGGGGAAAACATTCATGCAGAATCCCCTTACAGAGAATGGAGTTTGCCCGGCTCTGAGAATCTGCAGGACAAGGAGGGAGAGAAGCTGAATGGACTACCTACTGGAGACCTTATTAGCAAGAACTAGGACCCAAATGGCAAGACGGGTGGGACTGCTGCACATCAGGAGTTAGGGAGTGTTTGTCTTCAAATACAGTACGATACCGTACAGAGCATACAGATGTAATCCTCTGGGAGTTCTACCCCAGCCCAGTTTTACACAATGTTTCACTTTCTAAGCAATACACATTTTAGGCTTACGTTTTCTAAGCTCCATCTTTGTCCAAGGTGTGATTTTTGGAAAGTTTGAGCAAAAAGTCCTTCTCTGAGCTATGGGAGAGGGAAGGGGGGAAAGTTACATAGTTTATGCTTTTAAAAAAATGGTATGCACACATTTGAACAGGGCCAGGTTAACAACTGCTGATGGTTGGAAGCTGAAATTCAGTGTGAATGTGATCAATCAGTGCCTTCCCCTGCTTTGGAAAAATAGATGGAATTAAAATTTTCTGTGGTTTGCTAACCTTGTAGCTAAGCACCAACAAAGCAAAGGGTAGTTTTCAAAAGTTCACTCGCCATGGCAGTAGATTTTTTTTTTTATTAAGTCAGGAGGCATCCTGCAAAAGAGAGATTAACTAACAACTAGTTAAGCACACAGGGTGAATACAAGGATTTAGCTCCTAACTTCTATGTATGCTCCTAACTTTCCACGTTCTGTGGATGTTTCCTTTTGAGCATTCAGCCACAATGTTCAAAACTGCTTAGAACCTGACTGCTGTCTCTTAAACTGCACCTGTGAGACTAATGAACTGCTCGTGTGAGTAATAACAGTGAGATTTGCTCCTGCTGAATATATTGCCCAGGGGCAGATCCTCAGCTGGTTTAAATCAGGGTAGCTTCACTGGTTTCAATGGCACTACGCTCACTCAAACCAGGTGAGGATCTGGCCACTTTAATTCTCAACCCTGCTTGTAATACTGAGCCAAATTCTACTTCTTTTAATTACATGAATAGTTCCACTGAAGTCCATGAGACTGATTCTCCACCACCCTGCACCTCCTGCAGTCATTTATCCCTGTGTAATATGAGTGGGTGTACATTGCGGCCACATCAGAATGGCCCAATCATCTTGGTGGTGGTGTTGACACTGCTCAGGTATAAACGTGCAAAGGTGGAGAACCAGGGACAAGGGGCTTTATGTTTGTGCACAAAAACCCTTTTTAGTAATAGAACGTTATTAGAGAGATAGTATTTGATTCCATAATTAAAGGTTGTCTCACAGCAGTACATACTTGCACGACACCAGAATTAAGGCTGTATGTTCCCTCAAAGGTATTTAGGTGCCTAACTCCCATTGATTTCAATGAAGTTAGTGGCTCATATATCTTTGAGGATCTGGGCCTATCTGCCTGTACAACCCCTTGTACCATGGGGCCTCAATCCCAGTTGGGTCCTCTAGTTACTATTGCAATACAAATAATAAAATATAATAATAATAATAATAAATTAATAATACTATGCTGTGGGCACAGATAAGTTAAAGTGGCAGAAGCCCTTTTAGAATGCATGATTATTAATTGCTATGGAAGTATATTACAGCACCCTATAGAGTGCAAGTAGGCAACTTTTATGCAGAGAAACAACGCAGTCTCTGCCCCCAATTTAATTTCACACATGATGCAACCAAGGAGCAATTAAACAGTGGGTAGGGGAGGACAGGCAGGGGTCACAGCAATGAGATTACACCGTTTCTCAGCAAAGGTGAATGTGTGTTCAGCATGACTGAAGAAAATAGAGCTGATTCACTTCTTTTAGGCCACTGTGGTAAAAGTGGCTGTTTAAAAGCATTTGACAGCCTTGCCAATTGGAGGGTAAGGACAAAAACTTAAGAGTGCCAGAAAAAAAACAATAATTCATTGCTTTCTATATTATTTATTATTATTATTAATTTGTCAAAATACATATAATATTACCCACAAAAAATAAGCTAAACGAACATTATTAAGCACTTGATAGCAAAATCAAGCCCTTAAAAGTTAGGAGCCTTAATTCGGCTCCCCTGTGTATACGTATTATGATAGTCTTTAATTACATGATTGCATCCTTTTTACCCCGCAGGACCCCTGCCTCATTCAGTGTACAGGGTGGATGGTGCTCACTTAATGAGCAGCTAATTTCATATTTTGCTTTCTCCTCATTGTTCAGCGTGAGGCCCAATGGCTTACGTAACGCACACTCCTCAAACCCCACTCGGGAGAGCAGGGCCGGCTCCAGCTTTTTTGCCGCCCTACGCAGCGAAAAGAAAAGAAAAAGAAAAACGTGCTTGCGCTGCCGCCGAAGTGCCGCCAAAGACTGAAGCGGAGCAATTGAGCTGTCGCCGAAGTGCCGCCGAAGAGGAAGAGAGGGACTGAAGGATCCGCCACCGAATTACCGCTGCAGACCTGGACGTGCCACCCCAATAACAGACGGACTGCCGCCCCTTTCTATTGGCCGCCCCAGGCACATGCTTCCTTCACTGGTGCCTGGAGTCGGCCCTGCTGGAGAGAGAATTCGCAATTTCCTCCTGGCTTTTCTACATCACTCTTCACTACAGTCGCTGAGTGCGTCACAAATTTATTGTCACTACACGTCATGAGATGAAGAGGTTTAATCCCCATTTTGCAGATGGGAAACTGAGGCACCGATTTGTAACCGTGTCCAGGCATTGCTCTGCTCAGCATTGACAGTTAGGCACCTAAATACCTTTGCGAATCTGGGACTAAGAGACTAGGACAGCTAAATCACATTTCCGGAAGTGACACAGCCATTTAGCCAGATCTTTAAAGATACTTAGGTATGTAAAGGTGCAGTTTAGTAAGATTCTGAAGAGTGACTAGGCAACTAACTTCCAATGAAATCCGATCTGTCTCCCCTTTCCACTTCCCTCCTACCCTACACCCCAATGGTTCTCAGTCCCAGTCTCCTTGCCCAGCCATTTCCAGACTCCCTCCAGCACCCACTCTTACTTTCCCTCTCCCCACACCTCCAGCCTCCAATCCCAGTCTCCCCACCTTCTGTGGCTCTTTGTCATAATCTACTCCCGCTGCCCGAGCCCTCTGGTCCCAGCGGGTCCAGCTCTTGCGCCACCTGCATTTGAATCAGGCAACCTTCCTCCTCCACGCTGCCTGGGCATCGCATGGGGTCACTGAGAACGCAGGAGATACAGGCTCCCTGCTCTCATTTCAGGTTCTCAGACTGGGACATCAACAGCTCAGAACTGCAACTGCAGGGAAAGTTCTTCTCAATCCCAGTTTGGAGCATGCCAGTGTGGATGAAATCTTTGAGGAATGTAGCACCTGAAATCTAAAGAAGTCCCTAGAGAGTATGTGAAAGTTGATTTTTCAGTGGTTTATAAGTTGGCCCAATTTGGACAGATTTTCATGGAGAACAGCAGAAGGCACATCCCTGGAACAAAGGCAACTCCCCTGCCAAATTTCAAGTCGCTACTCCAGAGCACGAAGACTCTACGCTTTCAAAGAAAAGGTTAGCAGTCTTTTTTAAGATGTACAAACTTATTTTTCCCTATTTGCATTCTTGGAAACAGCTGAATCATTTTGGCTGAAATTTCCCATCCCCCAAATAAGCCCAAGGCAGGCACCTGGCACACAACATTTTAGCCCAAATTATTACAGTTTGGCGGAGTTATAAGCAACTGAAAACAGGGTCTCATAATGGTAAGTGTTGGGCAACCTTAATAGGTGGCACTACCAGCTCCACCTATAATACAGATGAATTCACTAAACAGCCAGGTGGGCTTGTTTCTTTAATCTTTTCTCCCAGTGGTTCTTAACTGCTTTTTTTATGTTTGACAATGCAAAATACCAGTTGGGATATTATAATTATATTACTTTGCCCTCAAGTTGACGTTTGTATATAAAGATTTCAAACATACATTGGAAACAATACTGCATTAAACCTCGTAACACAGCCTTATAGAGCAGGCAACTTGGATTATATTAATTTACAGATGAGTAAACTGAGGCCCAGTGAGATTAACTGATTTGCCTGTGTCACCAGGGGAGATTATGTTAGAGGCAAGAAAAAAAAAAACATGACA